TCTGATTGGTTTGTGATACACCAAAAAATTGGGCCAATCACATTGCGTTGAGATACACCAAAAAAAAAAGATGCGCCAATCAGATTGCTTAGAGATACACCAAATTGCGCTGATCAGATTACACTACACCACAATACACCGATCTATACGCTAACATATAGTTATTTTAAAAATTGCTAGTATTTATGAAGGTAGATCGTGTACAAAATTTTCGACTGGTCGTTTTTTTATGGTGTTTCATCGTTTCCGGACTCCTTTACTTCTGGTCGAGTCGTTGTTTTCCGAGTTCGACTCGCCGTTTTAGAAGCCGACTTATCGCTTCGTGAGTTCGTTTCGACGTCTTCTCAGTTCGATTCGTCGGCTGGCCTCTTCGACTCGTCTTTTTACGAGTCCGACTCATCACCGACCACATCAGTTCGTCGTTGTTTGTCGTTTTGCTGTTTCGTCGCCGGTTTCGTCATGGTGTTTTATCTTTTCGTTATGTCGTTTCGTTGTTTCGACTCGTCCACTCAGAGGGGCAATAATTCAACTTAAATTACAAGGAGTGTTACTTGATTCCATACACTCTTGCATGATGTATTTTAAAATATAGTATCCGTAATTTGCTCTCTGCCGGCCACAAAATGGATGATTTGAAGAGCTACCTCCGCTACAGCAGAGAATTCGGCTTGAATCGAATGAATGATCGTTTTCAGGAAAGTGAAAATGGAATTGAACATCTAGTAAAACACCTTGACAAAGTTTTGTATATTCTGGCTCATCTTTACGTCCGGTAAAGTTTGCACTCATTGCTGTTGATTCTGGGCCACCTTGTTTGTCAATTTGGCCACTTGAAATCTGCTTGAGGCCTTTGTTCTGCATTAAAATGACCTGGCATTGACTACACTTATTTAAGCTTACAACAGGCTGTCGAGTGGCATCCAGATGGGTGTCCTAAACAGTAGAAATGTTGATATCTTCATAAATCGTGGCTGTTCTAGCATCAGAAGCGAGGAAATGCTTTCGTGAGTATCTTTATAAAAAACTGCCTAAAAAGCAAAAGTGTATCATGAATACCTGACACCCAGCTAGCAAGTTGAGCAAGTAGGATATTTCATCAAAACTTCTTGTTAGTGTGAGCGTACATAGAGGAAAAAGAAATCTTAACAAAACTCACCCTTTGGCGACTTCTCAAGGAAATGGCCACCTGAACAATTTTTTTCCCAGATTTTTGGAATTGTACATATGCATGGGACAATCCTTTTTCGCGCCCCATCGACGTGAACACTCCTCTCGATACAATCTGCTTTAAAATGATCGGGGCATATGGAAAAGAGACCTTTCGGGTTGAAGTTAGCTCCATGCGCTCGTACGAAAATCTTTCATTTTGCTATTTCAAATTTACTTTTTGGCCTGTGCAGTGAAATTTCACTTTCAGGATTCGATTTACTGCTGCAATCCTGCACTACACAACGACAAGTTGGCATATCTGGCCTATAAACGGTGTCTAACTCAAATATAAGAGAGATTTAGCACCACGTTTATGTAAAACGTGAACGGGAAGGGGGAAAAATTGACGCCCGCGAAGTGTGGGGGTCTTCAGCGCACATGCCTTTAAAGTAGTATGTTGTTTAGGCGTTACGAAAACGCACAGGACATTTAACATGGTCATACGTGAGTCGATAAACCTTTCCCGCCAGAAAAGCTAATATGGCGGGTATGATAAAGAAGACGAGGAATATCTGCATCTGCATTTGCAGGGTTACAGAAAGGAAAATGGCTATATTTTTGGTTTCTTCGAGGATGATCTCAGAGAATTTCTTGAGGAACATATGTCGTCTAATTCGAGCTGCTTTGTTTAGTCAGAACGCCATAGTAAGGAGGACAATCATAAGCGCTATTCATCAACAGGTATATGGAGACTGCAAGTATTTTGTCTTTATTTTTATCTTCTTAAGCTAGAAAAAGGCAAAACTACAGTTATATTTTTTCCAGTTTCCAGCATTACTGGCAAAAAAAATCCGAAGATAAATGTATATTTATATAAGATTTTCGTCTATATTGCTACGACTTATATTTCCGGTTTAAATCATTTAAACCTAAAACTATCTGGGACAATCTCACTCCTACAAAACGAAAAGCCATACGCTCACTTAAGGAACGTAAAGACATAATTATAAAACCCGCCGAAAAAGGTTCTGGTATTGTTG